AATGACACTCGAACAATAACGAGAGACAATTTTGAAGGGTCAAATCGTGAGATTAAGAATGCACCGAGGAAATCGGTTTTGTAGTTCTCGTCGATAATCGCGATACTCTCTCTTCTCGATAAAATACGTGGCATGATGAGCATCTTGCAGCGTGTAAACATTCGCGCGGTAAACGTTTCTCTTTGAGCAAAATAGTTGATGATATCATTCGCCCATCGTTTCGTACACGTAAGCCTCTCGTATACGTCGTCACTATAATTGTCCCAAAAACTTGCGTCATTTTGCCTCCGTTTAAAACACCAAATTCCTATAAAAGTAAACTTGTCACTCACGACTACGAAAAAATTTTTCTTTTATAAATATTAAAATGCATGCTATAATATATACTTCTTATGTAATTTTAGACATTATATGGAAAGAATTTTTTATTATTTATATTTTACCGCAAAATTTATTACAAATTTTACTATGTTTAGTGATAACGTGGAACAATCTGACAACCTATTAAATATTACTGTAAAGAGAAATTTTTGAAATATACAAAAGATATTTTAAACATGTATATAATAAAAATTACCAAACATATTAAATTGTTTTAATGCAAAATATTTACAAAGCACTTCATAAAATTTACACATTACATTTTAATATAGATTAGTTGTCATTATATTTACACATTACATTTTAACATACAGTGAGTACAAAAGTATGCATATAAGGAAATTTAGTAATTATTCACAATATATCTCTTCTAAATTTTAATGTCTTTTTCTTTGAATTCGTATTGTAAATGATTACAAGAAGTTACACGTGAGTGTAATGAAATTAAATATATTACCTGAATTTTTTTCCCTAACAATATTAATCTTACAATGTTATTTGCATATCGCTCACTAGTCAATATATTATTTTATGTTCTTTGATTATTTTGCCTTTGCTGTCATAAGCTAGACAATTATATTTGTCTTTTTACTATTGTTAGTGTTACCAATTCCAATCGACGAATTTTGGATGTATTGTGATAGACAATCGTAATGGTTGACCTTACACAATGTATACACAAGAGTTATAAATCCTAAATTGTTAAAGATAAAATTGTTGAATCAATTCGTTAGCTTATTTAAAAAAAAAATCAAACCATTAATAACTTATTTACTTGTGTATGCATTATGAAATTCCATCACAATAATCTAATTGTGTAAAACTTTTCTGCCATAAATCATCAGTTAAACGAAGAAAGAATCCAATTTTTCCAGCAAGATTCATTAATCTAACGAACATTAATGTCTCGTTGATTTTAAACAAAACGCGAGAGCAATGTGAAGGAAAGGGAACAAAGTAAAAAGTGAGGGAGCGAGTAAACACTCCACAAAAATTATACTGTTGAAGTACAACTCTCAATTAATTATCTTTTGTTTCTTCGAATCCAAGTTTAGGCTCAGTAAACGATCTCGCCTTTTCCGCCTTTTAATATTCCACCTTTTATCATCTATATACTGAGTTGTTTTTTTTTAATATAGAAAATGAACTCCATCAGTGATTATGCGTACTATTTGCTAGTAAACGACTTTAGTGCTGTTTTAGTAAACATCATCAGATATCATTTAATCAATCATTTATCATGCTGCGTGGTAAAATTTTCATAGATGACTAAGCCAGGTTGAAAATATCATGATGTATTATAAAATTTATATAGGCTATTTTATATGTTTATTATTACTTGATATTTATTCTAATTCAAAATAATAAAGAATCATGAACTTAATTTATTTTAAAATTATTTTAAAATTATTGAAATTATACTATTTTTTAATAAAATAAATTAAACTTATTCTATATTTTTGTTATTGTGGAAATATTAATATTTATGTGGGAAAAAATTCGTGGCGTTTTTCTTATTAGATGGCATTAAAAAAACGCCACGAATTTTTTCCCACATCTAATATATCAAAAAGAATCACATAAAATTTTTCGAAGTATTATGTTATCCTATGATTATCACGATTTTCAAAATAAGTTTCAAAAGAAAGAGTCTCTCCATGTATAAAAAAGGACCGAAAAGATAAATATATTGTGAGTAAATAAATTATCTGTCTTGCTAAAAGTAAGACTTCGAGTAGACATCTTTTCAAATTTTTTTATTGCTTCAGCTCAAAACCTTATAATTCTCTCTCAAATTCTCCTACATGGATTGAACACATAAAGAATTAATTTTTAAAATTATTTTTTTATAACTATCTTTTTGAAAAAATTCCGAATTAATTTGTTTCGATGCGCTGCATCTGTTTAATGCACTCGATCCTACTGATATTTTGAATTGACTCGTAACGGCAGATTTATCGTAGTCCGCCCGTGCTTCGTTTGCATTATGCGAATGGCAGGATTTATTCTGCTCTCGAGACGAAGCCCGTTTTGGTCGTGCAGTACGAGAATACGCCGCTTGCGAACGCAACGGAAGGGGCATGCAAATTTATCAATTTAGCGCTCCGGTGCACTCAAACGCATTGCATCATTGCTCCGTAATCGCGGCGGAACTGGCGCGGTGATTATCATTATGTATTATTCGTCGTCGTTGTGTTTAACCTTCATATTTCCCAAACGCATGAAATGAATGAATTCAAAATTAGGTCAGTGAATAGCGTTTTGATATATTTTAAAAATAAGGATGTAGATTTAATGGTGTTAAGCCCACATCGTATTAATGTTTATATCATTATCAACACGATGAGAATATAAGTCGCATAGTATTAAATCCACATAATGTTGATGTTGATGTAAACATTAATATAGATAAATTTAGTATGATAGTTTTGTATACTTATCACCATTTAAAACCCGTAGTGTTAAATACATAGTACATTGGTATTTGTATCAACACTTACACGAGAATCGTGTGAGAATCATATAAACCGCATATGGTGTTACATCTACATTTTTTAGAATGTGATTGTTCTGCTTTTTAAGTTATATAAAAACCGAATTTATATAGATTATCTACATAAAATGAGAAAGTTTCAATATTAATTATATATTTGTTGACGGTGTGTTTGTGAAAATTTTATTTATATTTTAGTACTAACAATAAGAATGAATCATTGAATATCTTCGAATTTCTTACTCTCCCTTTTATCAGAAATTTGAAACGATATCCCGTGATCATTTGTCGTACATGTAAAAACATGGTCACTACGCGTTTGTCATAACACGACTTAACCTTGGCGAACACAGCACAAAATAAAATGACTCACGTTCTCACGAAAGTGATAAGTGCAGCGAAGTTATCGTAGCGGTTGCCCGCCGCGGAGTAATTGAATGGATAAGCCGGACTCTTTTAATTCTTCGATGAATATATATTATAGAGTTCGAAATAACTCTGCACCATACACGTATGGTTTTCTTATCACGTACAACCTTAGAAATATCGGCTCGTCGGAGTCTTACTTTAGAAGCCGCTGTTATCGACTTATTGTACTCCCTATATATACGATATCGAAGTTGATCGTCTTGTGTGAGAGATACACAATAGCTCGAAAAGGTATTCGAATGATTCCACTCAAATGTTGCTGCAGCATCTGAACTCACTCCGTGAAATGCCAGCCAGCTTTCCCTCGACAGCGCAAATGTCTTCAGGAAGAATCTTATTATTCACTTCTCAGCGCGCATCGGTGTTCTAGAAGTTGTTCTTGATAAGAAATTTATTCATCTGGTGTCTTCTAAAAGACTCGAGTCAAATACAACTATTGGACATACAGCTTCCGATATTGGAAGAACTTTGTGAAAAAATTTTCAGATCTAGTGCTGCTGAATGAAATTATAATGTCAATCTCCACTTGAGAAACAATATAATCAAGCTGTAATCACTAGTAATCAATTTTCTTCGCTGATGTCCAGTTTATTGAAATATGCTTGGTACAAATGATGAATAATTGCCGAGTATTATGAATAAATATTGTTACGTTGTAATAAACTTTAATAGATAACTTGTTTGTAGTTTATTGGATGTGAAAAATGTACACAATCTTAAAACGTATGGAATTAGCTTGAAATAATTTTTTTAATTTCATACAATCATTAATTCTCGAGATAGGGCATTTCAAAGATTCAAGATATTATGGAATCCCAATTTACGTTAAAATGTGAGTTTATTTATCAGATGTGTAATCGAATTTGAAAAGTAATATTCGCATTTTTCTCAAAATTTTATAAAATGTATTTATATATGATTCTAGTTGTGTATGGCTCTTCAAAATTTATTTTTGGAAGAAAAAAATCGCTTTTTTTTTTTTAAAGAAAATCAAAGCTGTTTTTTCAAAAATTTTCTCAAAAGTTTTATTTTTTTACGAATCAATTGAAATAAAATAAAACTAATGTGAGTCACCACAAGATGTTCGTGTTTTAAGATAAGTGTATTAAATCATATAAGATGTTTCGATCCTAAGAATTGGATCGTCTTCAGTGTAAAATAGAGTTACTTGTGTAATCCGATAATTAATTTTGAAATTAAAACTTTTGTCGACAAAAGCAACATTAAAATAATTCTGTAGAAATCAAACTTTATTTCAAGATTTATAACTTTATAAAATAAAATTTTTTAGTGGCGCTTAATATGATAAGAAAAGCGTAAATAAAGAAGTGCATTGTACATACTAATATAGTTTTACATAAATTTTATTTAAGAATGATCAGAGATCAGAGATATTTCAAAATGATAACAAAATTATAAAAGATTATTCTAAATCGTATTTAAAAGTAATACAACAAATTTTTTGACAGTTTATTATTAACGTTTTCAATTTTTAACTTATAACGATTAATCTTAGGTTTATAGCCCTTTTTCTTTCGGTATTAACACATTTATAAAAATGACTCCGACATATCCGTTAAGAGAAATTTCTGAAATATAAATGTACGTTTTATAAATTTCTAAAATAAAGATAATTTATTAAAGAAAAAGGGAAAGAAAATAAACAATTCGTATTTGTCGATTACAAATGTTTCAGATAGTCCCAATGCTACTCTATCAAGAAGACATTTCGGACATCATTGTTTCAAGTACTTCTTGGCGCGAACGTGAGTACGTTTACTATACTCAATTCCCCCTTACAAAACAAAATTTTTTGGCTAAACGAAATGAGCGGAAAATCTTTTCTTGTGGATTTGGAAAGCATATAAATAGCATATTATTATATATTATATTATATATTTATTCATTAAGATTTGGTTAAATTGGGAAGGACTAGCTAGGCAGATGTAAGCTCGGGAGGACGAATTGACCTATGCTAGCCGGATCAGACAGCGACTAGAAACAATATCTAGAATGGAGAGCAGCGGACAACTAAAGCGGAGTAGAGCAGATGTAGCTATAGTCGGCCGTCTGTCTTGTAACCTTTGCCTCGCTTTTGCGTCACGCTCAGTCGCGATTCGGCTTTCTGCTGGCGAACATTCCTTTTCTCTTCTCGCTATTCGCCGCGTAACGGAAGCTACTTGCTGCTGCACCAAAAGTAACAGCATTCGCGTTACAGACATTAGTGACACTGAAATTTCGAAGTTGTTTAAAATAAAAAAAAATCGGAATGCCTGTCAAGATGTGGTTTCCACATTTTAACTTTCGAGACACAAACGCAACATAGAAATAATAACATGTACTTTATCGACAAGGGGTTGAAATAATTTCAAAAGTTTCGATCGTCCATTAATGCAATGCAATCACCTTGATTGAAATAATCATTAAATCGTGTGATGCGATTTCGTTTAAGCGCGCAAGCGTCGGTGCGAGTGAGCGAGTGTGTTGAGTCGCGGAAGCAGTCGCGAGACATAAGTTTGCGGCAACGCGCATGCGAAATCGCACGCGTGAGAAACGAACAACGCAGATGCATCCGAGCATAAACCGAGAAATTGAGTTTAAAGGGATGTTGAAGCGACGTCAATTACTATGAATTACAGTGCAATCAAAATTTCCGAACTGGCTTTACGGATTGCAAAATTTTTTTACAGAATTAAAATACACACTAGAAAGTCCAGGTATGTCGATTTCATAAGAAAATCGCACAAAAATAAAAAAAAAATCGTTTATTTTTTACTCGTATAACTGTCACTTAAAGTTATTAACATAAAAACTTTATAGTTCGTACACTGAGAAAAAAAGTTTTTGTTTCCAAAATATTAATTGATTCAATTAAATGCAGCGGTTACGAGTTGTCAAGCCAATATTTATTAATTTAAATAAATAACATGTTGACATGTCTCATGTATAATATTGTATTTAATTTATTGTAAATAAATACTTGAACTAAATAATCATTATGAGTTATAAAAGTATTCAGTCAAGTTAATAATTTTTTTTCTCAATGTATGAATAGTATAAATATTCAATGGATAAGATTACTTGAACGAACAATACTGATTGTGAGTTTGTATAACTAACAAGTAAACCTACCTTTCTATATGATTCCCTGAAACTTTAATAAAACTTCGTATATTTGTAGAGTAATAAAAAATAATAAACATATTTTTTTATGTACAAAAAATTTGCACACCAAGTACTTTGTGATTGCTACATTGCATAATGCGCACATAATTTAACAATTTTTTAGACAATAATCTACGGGATTATTAAAGTCAAGTTTCTCTTGTAAATGTCTGTTTAAACTAAATCTTGTAAATACTTTTGTTCCACGACAAATATTTTGTAAATTGAGAAGATAACTAATTATGATAAGTAATTAAAGTTTGATAATGTTGTTTCCTAAATGCAAGTTTATATCGTAATTATACAAAAATAACTGTATCTGAAAAATGTTGTACGAAATTTTTTCAAATTTTGTAGACGAAGGTATAGAGAGGTTTAATCATTGCAGTTGTTTTTGCAGGAATTGTTAAACCAATATTGGGCCAATATTGGGTATCAATTTTTATGGGTATTCAATTTTTGCTCAATATTGGCGAAATATTGGAAAAATAATTTGTGAGCAATAATTTTTGTGTGCAAACGAACTGTCGGCAAAAGTGATGTAGACAGATATTGTAGACAATCGATTCGTAGACAAAAGGAGCCATTTCTTCAAGTACGATCTTTTCACTTGTCAGGTTCTATTTATCAACAATACTGTTAAATATTCAAATCTAGTCCTTCGACGTTTTTTTTTTTTTATATATCCGATATCGCAGATTTTATTATCGAATAACGAAGTTAGCGAAGACGCCTGAAGATAGGAAGTTGGATCTGTCGATCAGTGACTGTGTAAATACATTTAAAGTTTCTTTCGTGCTCTCTCGTTCGCTCTCTCGTTCCGATTTATCGCGAATGTTTGTATTACATCGAGGAGGATTCGATACAGTTATCTGCTAATGATAACGGCGATGACGCTTATCCGCGGGAAACTCGCGACACACTAGTTTGACAGGAGACGGTTGACTTATCGCGATAATAATAATGCTCTTCGTTATATATACGCAGAATATAATGTAAGCGCTGCGACACACGTGATTTCATATAATCGCTCGACCGCGTCACGAGATATTGAACTACTTAACTACTCGGCTTAATTCTCTTAATACTCGAAGAATATATTCGCTGTTGTTCCGCATTCTCAATGAAACTAAATGTTTCTCGATAATGTAACTCGATATTTGATTAAAATTTTTTTTAACATTCTTTTTTGCGGTTTATTAGATCATTGAGGTGTGAAAATTAATGTGTATTTAATTAAAACTGTAAATTTTAAAGCACTTTTTATTT